TAGTCCAGCATTGTTTGATGGAGAGGATTTTCATGAATATTTTTTTTTGATCCTGGATGATAAACGCATGTTGCGGTCCTGTGTTGAATGCCCAACGAATTGACCGCAGTGACATTGACATTGAAACATATTGAACATGCACTGTTTGACCCAACTTCAGTGAATCCAACACTGCCAAGAGCCCTGAACTTTGCAGATGCCCCTTTTCGCCGTGTTTGTTGCCAGCGTGTAGGATCATCAAGGTGTCAAGTTGCTCAGGATTTTTAGAGCAAATAGGAAAAACATTTAACACAATTTTGCCTCCACTGGGCACTTTCTCGCCCTTTCTCACCTTAGGTTGGGCAAAAAGTGGCTGGCGACATCCCCAGAAAAAAAATGTATCGTGTGTGGCGAAGGGCGAGGGCTCAATGTTTGAATTCCATGGTGACCTTCTCGCTTGCTGAAACTGCATGAGTCTTTCGTTCATGGTTTTCTTCAAAAACGCTCGGGCTGGACAACCAAACACTGAGTGCACCCCGTTGACAAACTTTGCTTAGCATCAATCCCTCATGCCCGTGTCTTCTCCAGAACATTGCGGAGCAGAATTCCATGAGGGCAGCTAGGGATCCATGTGGATCAGCCGTGAAAATTTGATGCTACTCAACGAATTTGATGAAAATCGTAGCGAATTCTTGTGCTGCGACTTTCAACGACGGCTCATACAACATGACATGAGAAAGCAAACACCAAATGTCATCATGATGATTTAGGGCTTTAACGAACAACTCTAGGCATCATGGTTTTTCCAGCAAGGTTGTGAGAGACAACAGCGTGGGGCCCTCTAAGAGAAATCTTGCCAACAATCCAGTTTCCCAAATGAGCAGCGAGTGGAGTTTTCGCAATCCACTTGGAGAGTTGAAAAAGTGTCATCATCTCCAACACTAAACTGGAGCAACTGGCAAATTCTTGCCATGACCTCTCCTGCCAAGCGCCGAATTGTGCTGAAAGATGGCGATGGCAGAGTCTACGATGTGCAAGTGATGCAGGATGCTGTGGGTTTCGACCTGCGTCGCAAAGCAAGGCCCAAGCTGGCTGATGATGATCTTCGACTCGTGAAACTCCGCAAGGCAGACAACACGGACCTCGAGTTGGACAAAGTGGTGCCGCCTGGTGTCGGCAGCGACATTGCGTCTGCAGTGATGGTTGAAGTGGAAGGGCTCGTGGAAACGCAATAGGTGCCTGGGGCTTGTTTTTTCGTTTCTGATAGGGTTGCCTGAATAAGTTAATTGGATATTTCATTGGTTTAAGGAGTTGCATTTTGGATTGAAGAGCCTAAAGATGCCCTATGCCTGTGGCTGAACGAGGCTGTGGACATGAAGCCAAAGGAGTGGACAAAAGACCAGGTGAAGACTTTTGAGCAGGACATTCTGGGACTCCACGGCATGAAAGAAAACATGGTCATACGCGAGTGCTATACACAGTTGCAAACTACAACTACAACAGCAATACTACATTTACACTACCCTACACTACACTACACTAATTACACTAGACTACACTACACTACACTGAATGACACAGCACCACAGATAGACAGGTAGACAGATAGACAGATAGATAGACAGACAGACAGACAGATCGGTAGATAGATAGATAGATAGATACATAGATAGATAGGATAGGTAATTAGATGAAAGAGAGAGAGAGATAGATCGATAGGTAGGTAGGTAGTCAGAGAAAGAGAAAGAGAAAGAGAGACCTCAAGCACCTTTCGGTCCATCAGCGGATTCGCTCTGCCGTCCGTGATTCACAACAACCAATCTCTCCTATAGGTTTACTATTTTTGAAACTTCCGCCACCGCCTTGTGCGGTACTACTGGTACATGTAGGGACGTAATTCATAGATGTGAAGAAATAGACAATGAACAATTTGATCAAATACTTGAAATTCAAGATGAAACAAATGATGCAGTTACCTCGTTGTGCGTGATGCAGTTGTAGGAAGAACGCAATTTGATTTGGATCGGGGGGTCTCAGTCCGCCAATGCAGCCGACTCCTTGCTTTAGATCATGTTCTAAATGATTTGCGCATGATAAGAAATAAAGCGGATGAAATACCCAATGAGCTGGTTGATTGGCCTACTTTTAAGGGTTAGTTAGGAATTTTCTGCAATTTGATTGACTTTGAGGTTGAGCCTCCTAAAGATGAGCTTTGCAAATGGCTGGAAGAGGCTGTTGCTATGGAGCCAAAGCCGAGCACTTGGGGCAGGACTGAAGACACTAAGGAGTTGACCTTCACCAACAAGATATTGGGCAACAAGGGTATGGGCAATGACCTAGTCGTTCGCGAGTGCTATGTACAGATGAACGATGAGGCAATGCAGTGGCTGAACAAAAAGACGGAGGACGACAAGATCGGACTGTTTATTGTGACAGGCACACCGGGAATTGGCAAGTCCATGTTCCTCGGCTTCATGTTAGCCTTCCTTGCTGAAGAGCAGAAGTACCACATCGTTGTCCAGCGTGGTAACATGTGGTGGTCGCGACAGATTGGTAGGAAAACCATGGCTCACTATGAAACCAAGCCTATCAAGCTTCTTCAAAGTTCCCAAACCTTGCTGTTGGCAGATCCTCATGGAGGTGATGGACGTGCGCAGATAGAGCAACGTAGTGCAGGCTGCACCATGGTTTTCATTTCACCATCTAAGAAGAGCTATGACACGCCATACAAACAGCAAAAAGTTGAAAGCACTCTCCGCTACATGCCTGTTTGGGCCTTGGAGGAGTATTTGACACACAGAGAGAAGTTGTTTCCGCATGTTTCTCACGAGCAGGTGAAACAAGCGCACTCACTGCTGGGTGGAAGTCTGCGTTGGTTACGAGAGCTGCTGAGCACCAAAGGTGACATGTCGAATGTCGCTCGTGATTTGGTTCAGCAGAGTATTCACAACTGCACCTATGACAACCTTCATCAAGCTGTGAAGAGTGTGCCATCCGATATGCAAGTCGGAGAAAGCCTCATGAGTCTGCTGTTGCAGATTCATTCTGTTTCTCCTTTTCACAAACCGACTACGAAGCTCATTGAGTCATCCGTTGTTAGTGAAGCGATTCGTGAGAAGCTGGATGCCCAAAGCAGAGAAGCACGTCCACGCTTCATCAACGCATGTCTGGACCTACCCGCACTCGGCACATTTGTTGGAGACCTTCTCCAAGATGAGGTGTATCAGAAGCTCACGCAGTGTGACACGAATTATATTCTGAAATTGAAGTCGTTGTCTGATCTTAAAACTTGTGAGTTACAGGTTCCGTGCCTTGTCAGGACACTCCACAGAAAAGAAGGCAAGCTAATCTCCAAACAGCGTTTGCAGGTTGGCTGTTTGTATTGCCCAAAGAGTAAGATTTTCCCTGCCACGGATATCTTCTTTGTGATGGATCACAATGGCAGTTTTGTGCTCTGCCTGTTGCAAATTACCAAGAGGGACACCCACGACTGCAAGGTGGAGAAAATGAAGGATCAGTTTGTGGATTATTTGATCAGGAAACGGTGGACAAGGTCGACCTCATTAAATGGATTGTTGTTACACCTACAAGCATCGCGAAGAAGTACACTACAGTCCAATCTGTTAAGGGCTCGTGGCAGAAGACAGCCACGATGGCAGTCAAAGTAGAGCAATACGTCTCTGCCTGGAAAGTCTGACAGAGCTCTGACTCCCGCCCTGCCGGGGAAAACGAGTTCTGTGATGCTCTTCCTTTAGCGAGAGTTTTTCGGCAAAACCCTTTCTACAACCTTTAATCTCAACCCTTGACTGTAAATTCTATTAATGGTGGGTTTCTCCCATGTTCGGGGCATTGCTTGTGTGGATCAATGTGGTTGCTGATGATGGAACATGTAAGGGAACAACGCTTTTGGGACATAACGCTTACAGGCTTGGCGAGTAAAATCCGTCGACGTGCAGATCAGTGGTTCAGATTTGTTCATATGCAGGAGCAAGGCATCGTTCGCAATATATTTTTGGACACTGTACTGACATGCAGCGAACCAGGAATCTTGCGCGTTCTTTGGTCCATGCTTGACGCAAGATGTTCTAGAACTGGAATTTTGTTGAGAATTTTTACAAGTTTCTGAAGTTTCATGACGCCATTTTCGTGCTAGCCTTTCAAAACTTTTGTTCAAGTTTTGTCCGCTTCTTTTAGAATCCTTCTTGAGAAGTTCGTTTCTTTGCTAGTTTGATTGATGCAGAGAATCGGTTGTTTATCCAAGGTGCATCCTTGGCATTGAGGCATGGCTTTGAGCTTTCTCCAGGGAGCTTTTTCTCCAGCAAGCTTTCTCCAGATAGTTTCTTTTTACTCCTTTTCTGCCCGGCCTGGATGACATGCTGGGTGTCTGAATCATTCTGATGTGAACATGCAAGCAATGTGCTGCGCAAAATATGTCGTCGCGTGCTGAGTCATCGCTGGCAGGCCGGATCCCATCAAACCGGAGTCAGCATGGTGTTTGCAGGGTTTAAGGAAGTACAATTCAATGAAGTTGAAGGACAATTTGGTCGACTCATAAAATGAAGAAGCCTGGAGGCAGCTAAATCATCAACCGATTGCGTTGTCTCTTCGTGGGTCTTGCAGAAGTTGGTCAGCAATTTAAGACCATTATTTTTCCCAGCACAAGCCCGGGGGGAACACATTCAGCTACCATTCTTAAACCCGCATGATCGGTAGACTGAATTCAGCATGGCAAGTTCTCAGGGCCTGTTGTTTTGCGAGGTTTGTTTGAGGTCTTTGTTTTGGGAGTGAGAAAGTCATGTCATCCATGCTCATGTCACTGGTTGCACTTGCGGTTCACGGCTTTTACCCGACGCCGTTGCTGGGTCGAAGGGCCCTTGAGCGCCTGGAAAAAGGCGTTTCGTTCTTGCATCCGCTGCGCTTTTACATGGTAGCGGAGCCCCGGTGACGACCGGGGCTCCCGCGACGTGGTGTGTGGACTGCCGGGGGACGCCCCGGCGCTGGACACCTTGGCCTGTTGGCCGACCTTTTCGTGAAACGGACACCGCGTCCGGGAGCTCGCTTTTCTACTTCTTAGCCTATTTGGCGATTCTCCTTTTTGAGCCCTTCGATTACCAGCTGGCGCCGCTGGGAGTGTTTCTTTGCTTGATTTGGGCAAGTGACTTGGCTGAATATGGCTGCGAGGCCAAATCAAAGGACTTGGAAGGGCACTGGAGCTACATCAACGAGTATGCCAGCAGCATCCCCCTCGAGTCCCTCAATGGCGACTTCAGGAGCTGCTGCGGCCCATGCCCCTACTACGCCAACGCCTGTCACTATGCCCGTGAACCTTTCTCCTGGACATCAACAGCGTTCGGGATTATTTGACCCCGTCGAACCTGATCCCCTTCAAGGGCAAGATCCATGGTCTGCTGGCCAAGAGGTGGCACGAGCTTCATCCTCACCTACGGGTTCCGGCCGTGAGCCACCACGGAAGTTCTTTGACTACAAGCTGGACCCGGCCCCGTCTTGGGGAGGTGAGAACCCCGAGAAGCAATATCGTGAATTTCATCGCAACCTTCAACTGTGGTTGATTGAAGCTGAAGCTCGATTGCCCATGAACCTCATCGGCAAGAGGATGATTGACAGCATCCCCATTGGATCGAAACTTGGAGCTATGCTTGCACACCTCTCCATCGAAGAGATTTGCAGTGACCAAGGTCACCGGATCATCTTGAAGTTGATTGAGGACTCCCACGAGTTTTTGAAGGACCAGAGGCTGGAGCAAGCGTTCGACGACGCGATATTCCGTGGGAGAAGGGAGAGAGGCCAGTCATTGACGACTTTTTTGACTGGCAAGAAGGCGGCATTTGCAGAACTGAAGAAGCAGGGTCTTGACCTTTTGACCTCGACTGCAGGCCGCCACCTACTTGGACATCTGATCCTTCGTCAAGGAGCCTTCACCCAAGACCAACGGCAGAGACTCAAGGTGGTCACCAATGGAAGCATTGACTACAAAGAGATTGAGAAAGCAGTTCAAAAGATCTTTGGTGATCGCCTTGATGAACAACATGTTGAACAGCACCACACCCCGAGGCGTTGGAGAAGCAACACCTTCTGGGAAGGTGATGATGGCATTGAAGATGAGGACATGGACTTTGACCCTGACACCTTTGCGACCGACCCCTATGAGGATGACGGCATTCTGGACAACCTGATCTGCTTGAATGAGTCAGAGGAAGTTCAAATGATCTTCGCTTATGAGCTTCCAGCCGTCATGGAAGAGTCAGAAGCCCTCGAGATGATGGGCTTGCAGATGGAAGATGTTTTCTTTGAGGCACATCGACATGTGCACAAGGGCAAAGGCAAAGGCAAGAAGGGCAAAGGAAAGAATCATTCCAAGACCTTCGGCATGGGCACTCCTGGCCACGGCAAAGGAGGCTACATGGAACATCGTCGCATGCTCCAAGCGACGAGGAATGGCCGCGGCTTTGACAAGCCATCATCACCATGGCACCAGCGCTCCGGTAGCCGACTTTCTTTGGCCGAGTTGAAGGCCAAAAGCAGATGCCACCAGTGCCGTCAGATTGGGCATTGGTCAAAAGAGTGTCCGCAGAGGAAACCGCTCTCGCCACCTCCGAGAAGCTCTGCTGGCTTTTTCATGGAACCCCCAAAGTTGGCTGAATCAGGCCACTTCTTTGAGACTTCAGAGCAGTTGGAATACATGCCATGCAGCTTTGTGGGTGGGAGCGGGTTTTCCGGACTTTCGTTCGTGTTTTTGGGCACCAACGGAGCCGATGGAACGGCCTTGGTGGACACAGCTGCACAACATGGCCTGGTTGGATTGGAAACCCTACAAGCTCATGATCGTCTTTTACAAGAACGTTTTGGGTTGAAAGTGCAGTGGTCCACCGAAGCCGGAGGTAGTGTTCGTGGTGTTTGTGGTAAGGAGGAGAAGACCCACATCGTTTACGTCCCCATCGGCCTTTCTGGAAAGTCAGGTGTGTTGAGATGCCAAGTGGTTCCCGGTGACATCCCCTTTCTACTACCAGCATATTTCTTGAGTGATTTGGGTGCCATCATCGACATGAAGAATTGCATGATCATGTACATGTCACTGGGTTGCAAACAAACCATGCACCGACTCCATACCGGGCACGTCGCGGTCTCGATCATCGAGTTTGGAGATGGCTACAATGTGCCAGTTGACTTTCCTCAAACCCGCAGTTCAGCGTGGTCTCGAGAGCCACTGCCTTGGACCGGCACGACGCCCTCGCTCGGTCGTAATGCGCCAGCGATGGCTCCACTGCTGGCGACGCTTGTTGCTGCGGCTGTCTGCCTGGAATTTCCTGAGAGGATGGCAGGACTTCATGCAGGCGATCAGAACACCACAGCTCCGGGAGGCACGACAACTTCAAGCCCGACGAGAACGCCTGGAGCAGGAAGCCTTGCAGATCGCCCAGAAAGAACAGTCCATCATGGCTCAGGCAGCAGCTTCATCCAGCTCGATGCCACAAGGACCCCTTCACCATCATCTGGACGAAGATCGAGTACGCCCCAGGGCATGTGTGAAAGGGAAGGGCCGCTACCTTGTGCCGGAGCTCGAGCCCGCGGTCGATTGCCAACATTTGGAGACGAAACATGGAGCGAATCGACATCTCACATGGCATCAATGCCAGAAGTGCCTCCAGAAGCAGGAGATGCCACTCACGGCCATCACGGAGCTCCACGTCTGGAACAACAGCCTGATCTTTGTGCCAGATCCCTTCTACGAGAGCAAGAAGAAGAAGGCTCAGAAGAACGTGAAGTCCGAGAAGGTCGAAGAGTCTCCATCCACTCCACCTACCGCGTTGGGGAGTATGCCAAAGAGCCGATCACGGACAGCTTCGATGGCCCGATCAAGTACAACGACATCGGCAATATGGCTCAAAGGATGACTGCTCGGAAAGCACCACCCTCTGTGAAGATGGAGTTCGGCGACGAGGTGCCGGATGTGAGGAGACCTCATCAAGAGGATTCATGGTGCGATGTGGTAGCGAACGACATTCTCGAGCAGGCCCACTTCATCGGGGACGCGGAGATGGATCTTCAAGGAGCGACCGATCCGCCGCACATCCAGAGCTGCGACCGATGTCACCAGGGCGAACTGACCCTACATCGCCATCGACCGACGATGGGACTCCTCTGGAAGTGCGACAACCGAGCATGCCCTTTGGCCTGGCACCAGGTGCAGGAGGAGATCGCACCTGCCTACGGAGTGATGCTGTGCCCGAGATGCAACATGGGCGAGATGCTGATGATCAACGATGCCACCGACCCTCAGGACATCGAACTGCAGTGCGCCCACGAACCATGCAGTCTGCAGTCCTTCCAGTTCGAGATGCCTCTCTGCTACTCCCAGATGGGGAAGTTCAACGTGAACGCACTGCACCGCTGAGCGGCTGGTTGGATAACATCCGGGACCGGATGAACTATGAGGAGAACTTCGACGACCTTCTGAACACCTTGGAGGTAGATGTCCCCAGGACTTATGTAGCCACCGGATGTGGTGATTGTGTACCTGGAGTACATCCTGTGGCCACCTGGCCGATTTGTAGCCGACGGATCATTTTGGTCCGGAATGGCGATGATGACTGGAATGCAGTTCATTGCACCACAGTCCCAGGTGAGCCCTATGTCTTCGGGATGGATGAGCCGACCTGCTACACCGTCTTGTATGAG